CAATCTTTCATATGTTATTCCCCCTTTCCTTTATTTTCAGCTAAGTTGTAATTTAATTACCACTATGCAAGTCTCGGTCCTCATCAATGGAGTTGAATATGACTATTTCCAACATCAACTTGGGATTCGATAAGGTGACCCATTATTTACTTTGTTGTTTGTGTCGTATATAGAGGCATTCTTAGAAAAGTTGAGTGCTGCAATATCTTCCTCCGCCCTCCACGGACTCAGAGTTCACAGGTTTGCACAGCTAACTTCTCATATCTATTTTTTCGATGATTCCTACCTTTTCATAGGAGCATCAATACCATAATGTGCTAATCTGATGCAACTGTTGCATGACTATGAGTTAGTTAATGGTCAAAGGGTTAACCTAAGGGTTAACCTCCATAAACGTGTGTTAGTGAAATGTCTCTCAATAAGAGTTGGATGCCATAAGTTCCTTTGCGGGTGTCTCTAAGGACTAGATGATAAGTATCTTGGACTTCCATCTAAAGTTCACTTATCAAAACTATCACATTCTGTCTCTTTGAGGATGCACCAGCGACCTAATTTGAAGTTGGAAAAGCAAAGCAATGTTCATAGCTACTAAAGAGGTTGTCATCAAGGCAGTAGGGATGGTTGGCCCTGTTTATGCTATGTCATCCTTCCGTTTTCCATCTGAGATATATCGGAGGTGTAATAGTCAACTGTCACGATTCTGGTGGACGAGACAAGATAAGGAGGATGGTATTTACTAGGTTTCATGGAGTGTTATTTGCCAAAGTAAGTTTGAGAGTGGATTAGGATTTAGGTACTTTGAAAGGTTCAATGTGGCATTATTGGCGAAACAAGCTTGGCGGTTGTTACAAAACCCAGAAAGTTGCTTAGCGTGAATGTATAAAGTGAGGTATCATCCTCACCATCATCTTTTAGATGCCACTACTGGTTATCGATCATCTTGGGCGCGGCGAGGCATCCTTAAGGGTAGAGACTTGTTGAAGAGTGGCCTCCATTAGCATATTGGCTCTGGTACATAAGTTCGGGTGCTGCATGATGTGTGGTTGCCTTCATCACTTCCATTTTCCCCTAGTCCTTTACTAGGTATTGTATCTTATACTCGGTTGGTTGTTGATTTGATTTTCCCGTAATCTCGGATATAGAATGTTCCTTTTGTACATTCTTGATATTCCCTTACCTCTTCAGTCCATGGAAGATTGTCTTGTTTGACACTATGAAAAGACTAGCAAATACATAATGAAAACACGTTATCATATTTTAACCACTCAGTTGCAGTTAACCCTCATGTGGCTCTTTGTTTTGATAATAGGTACAAAAAACTTCTATAGAATTTACCGATTCCTGCTAAACTGAAGTTTTTCTTTTGGAGAATTGTACGATGATTTCTTCTTTTAGTGACTGTTCTGTTCACTAAAACTCTAGTCTCCACAATCGGCTGTCCAATTTGCTCTGATGGCTCAGAGTCCTTTTCCCATTGTTTCTTTTAGTGCAGGATTGCTCATGGTCTTTGAAGGCTTGCTGATTTGGACAACATTCGAAGACATTTGGCAGTTCTTTCTTCTAATGATGCACGGAAGCAGCTATTTTTCCCCTTCACTTATCTAAAGTGGCCATAACTAACATAGTCTTCTTGTGTTTGCGTATATGGAAAGGTAGGGGATGGTTGGTCCATGGAGGCATTCAATATCTTCCTCCCGCTGTTCTTCGTCAATTTAAAGCCCAAGTGAATAAGTGGCATGCTGCGGCAGGAGCAGACTCGAGGCAACAACAAGGTCAACAGTAGACTGCCTGAAGGTTGGAGGCAATAGAGGAACAAAATATAGGGGTTGTAGCACAACGTGGACGTGGATTGCCTTGCGAAGTACCACAACTAGGATTTTGGTTTGACGACTCGCTGAAACGTAACCATGGTGGTGGTACATGATTCGCGGGTTCCAGTTTCACAAAGGATCTAATCTTTGCGTTTGAGCAATATTATTAAAGTATACATGACCCTTTCTTAATGGAATTATTGGATTTGCGAGATGCTATGAACTAGTGCCAAACTCATTGTGTTTTATCTGTTAGATTTTCTGGTGATTCTCAAATGGTCATTCGATGGGTGATGTCGGGAGCGAGCATTCACATGATTTGGGAGGAGCCAACTTGGAAGATATTGACAGGCTGTCGTCTCAGTTTTAATAAGTTTCATATTGTTTTGCTCCCTGTCGCTTCAAAAGGGATGCTCATCCTATAGCACAAAAGACCTATTATCGAGAGTTTGACTATTAGTCGACTATCGTGAATTGTTACTGTATTCTTTGTAAATATATTTTACTCTTTCACTATGTTAAAAAAACACTTTCATTTCATTTCATTTCAGTTTTAATTTTTATTGTTAAATCATCTGTTTCATTTTCATAGCTTTTTTTTGGGTGCTAAATAGTTCGATTTCAAAGGAAGAAGCAAAATATTTCCATCCACTTTAATATTTTTACTAAAAGCTTTCTGCTAATTTTCTTATTGTGTGGAAAATCTAATATATTATTTGGAAAATGAATGCTAATTATTAGAGCTTTAGTACGATATGGTATCGGAGATGATGTACCTTTATAAGCCCCTTCCCTTCGTATCAAAAGACATTATTATTAGTGCACGAATTATAAAACCTTTGGATGTTAACAAAGACATTCAATTTGTATATGAGCTCAATTACTATATTTATATTCATAAGTAATGGTATTTTCATTTACAAAAATGAAATATTTTTATGGTACAAACTGAATCTGTACTTTTAATGTACTGGTACAAATTCAATTTGTAACATATGAAGTCTATGTTTGATCCGACTTTTGGAAGTGTTTTTCGGCTTGAAAAGCTGAAGTATAGACAAACACCTATTAAAGTTCGACTTTTGAAAAGTGCTTTTCTATAACATAAAAGCAGAAGTTCTGATTTGGAGCTTCTGCGAAAACTGTTTTGAAAATACAAGATTATCCTTAGTTCTTATCATATTTTAATGGTACAAACTGAATCTGTACTTTTAATGTACCGGTACAAATTCAATTTGTACCATATGAAGTCTATGTTTGGTCCGACTTTCGGAAGTGCTTTTCGGCTTGAAAAGCTGAAGCAGAGCCAAACACCTCTTAAAACTCGGCTTTTGAAATGTTGAAAAGTGCTCTTCTATAACATAAAAGCAGAAGTTCCGATTTGGAGTTTCTGCGAAAAACTGTTTTGAAAATACAAGATTATCTTTAGTCCTTACCATATTTTAATTTTATTTCATAAAATATAATTTCTCTTTCATTTCTACCATTTTAAAAATAAAATAAATTAGAAACAATATTATTTAATATAAAGAAGTTTAACGAGATCCATTTTGACTACTTTTTATTTTTTAGAATTTTTTTCATATTTTATATTAGAAATAATTTTTATTAATTTTACATGCCATCTTATATTAAGAAACACTTCTAATAGTTTTTCAGTCAAACACTCAACTACTTTTATTTTGAAAAGTACTTATCTAAAAACTCAAACCATAAGCTGCTTCGCGAATATCCACAATAGGGCAAACTAGCTCGAAGTTACAAATTGAATTCATACTTTTACATTATAGTGCAAATATAAGTTGTACCCCGAAACATTAATGCCTACCAAATAGGGATGACAGTCAAACATGGACCCATGGGTACCCAGCACGACCCAACCAGGTCAATGCAAATAAAACTCATATTAATCGGGTTCGGACCAGGTTCAGATTAAAACCCAATGTCCTACTGAATGGGTTGGAGCGAGTTCGAGTCAGGGGTACCCGTGGATACCCCATCCTATTCCCATTTCCCCCAAGATTTCACATAAGCCTTCACCATCCTTATTAATTTTAGAATTAATTGATGTCAATCCATTGTTTAAGCTTTCACCATCATTCTCATGTTTACATCCGCAAGAGTGAAAATGTATATATGTGTGTTCTTATCAACTAATTATAAAGAGAATTCTAATCTTGTGGCGGATTTTTTTTCTTGCGGCGGATTAAACTTGTGTTCTTTCTTGGTTTTCCTTGTAATTTTCTTATTATGAATACTATATCAACCTTAGCAAAAAAGGTTGTTTACGGATAGTTTCAATTTTTTTAGTTTTTTAAATTGATGTTGAACAATTTGTATGAATAATTTGTTATTTGGTTGAATTTTTTAGAATGATGTTTTGTATAGGGATAATTTGTATGAAGAGATTGATGTTTGATTTTTATTTTGATTTGAACTTGTCATTGTAATTTTTTTTACCACAAACACCCATGGGTACCCATGAACCCTCAAATATCCAACGGGTTGGGTTTGAGTTTTCCAAACCCAGTGGGTTTCACCCCAATTTTTTTTTTCCGGATAAATCTATGGGTTTGGATTTGACAAAATCCGACTCAACCCGACCCATTGCCATCTCTAGTATCAAATGATAAGTAGATGAATGATTATGTCGAGTGTGTGAGCTCAAGATACCTCCTCCACATACACTGTAATCATGAATCGTACCATTTTTATGTTATTAAGTTTAGCTCAAGAAAACAGTAGATTCTTAAGATAATATCCACTAGTGTTAAAATAATTGGATTGTAGCAAGCCGTTATGGGTGCATGTTTAACTTTGAATGGGAGGGTAATTATAATTTTTAACTGTTTAAGAGCATTCATAAGAAAAGGAAGAAGATACTGTTTACTGTTTATGGAATTTACTATTCCGGTAATCTCACACTGTCACACAACTTACATGGATGAATTCACGCTTTTATGGTGATTGAAAAATGAATACAAAATCCAAAACAAAAACCAGAGGAAAGGAAGGGAAAAAAAAAAAGAAATAATAAATAGCTTTTAAGAGTAGCGGTACCAATGGCAGGGAAGGTGGAGAGAATCTAGAAATCCCATATCCTTAGAATTTTCCTTAAAAACCCAGAAATTATAAAATGGAGATATATCATTATTAAATTAAAAGGTAGCAAAAAAATAATGGGAAAATGAAATGAATGCTTGAGAGTTGAGAGAAAGAGAGAGAGATTTGGGGGAAAAAATGGAGAGAAAAAGCAGAGAATAAAAAGAGACCGGATGTTGACAAATTTCGTGTCACTGTTCTTAGAAGGTCGTTCGTTTGTGTAAAAAGATTTCTTATCTGGGATCTCTCTCTTCTCCCCCCCCTCTCTATCTCTCTCTTACATAAATAAAAATACTATCTTTCTGCCTTTCTCTCTCTAAATATCATTTCTTCCTTCCTTTTTTCCCCTTTCTTTCCCCTTGTTGTTGTTGCTGCTTGCTGGTGTTGTTGTTGTTGAGAGAGAAAGTGAGAGACTTGGGGATAGAGAGAGAAAAGGGAGGAATAGTGGCCCAGCAGATCGAAATCTCCTTTTGTTCAATTGGGGGGGAGACGATCTAAGCTCCTTCAATCGCATCAGAGCAGTACCCACTCTTTGTTTTTGCTTTTCCTCTTCTCCTTTGAGCTCCCTCTCCCTCTCCCTCTCCCCCTCGTTTTTGTTTCTTCTTCTCTCCTAACTTTTCTCTGATAGTGCCAGTCTCCTGGGAGAGAGTCTTGGAATTTTTGTTTGTCTGATGTAGAAGTTGGGGCTGTCAAATGATTGTATGCTTGTAGGTTTCTTGAGGGGAAAGAGGGGGATAGAAAGAGGATGCGGGTCTGAGGTAATATTATTTTTCCTCTTATGGGTTATCTGATTTTGTTCTTTTCTAATTAGAATGCTTTGTGGGTATAATTTGTTTTGTTTAATGATTTTGTCAATTGGGGTTTGCTTTAATTTTTTCTTTTGGGGGTGGGTTTTGGTATCTGTTATCAGTTTGATGAATTTGGGTCGAGGGTTGAGGTATTGTGGGCAATTCAGAGTATGCAATTTTCTTCTCCAGTAATCTCATGGTTAGGTTCACTGAGTTTTGGCGTCTGATTTTGTTTCCTTTTTGTGTTTGTTTGTTTCTTCTGGTCAGCCTTGGTTGCCAATAGGATTCGTTGGTGTGTGGGGTTTTAGAAGTTTCTGTTGGAAAGCTGGGGGGCAGTTCTACTGCTCATATTTGCTAATGATCTTTTGTTAATTAAGACTGTATGCTTTTAAAGGATCAGTGTTGTTCACTCTTGAATGTCTTAATTTAGATTCTGGTTTTGCAGTTGCTCATACTTGCTTAATATACTCTTTCAACTTCTGTTCTTTGTCATGGGGTTCTTTGAATTACTAGCATCCAGAGGTAGTTTGTGGAGATATCAAAGATCAATAGTTACTAGCGTTCCTTTTCTGTATGCTAGGGATTTTTCTGTTTGTCTTGTAGCTTTGAGATTACCAACCTGAGTGCTGGTAGAAATGGTGTCTATTGTGTTCTGATTTTACTTCCTTCTAAGGTTTAATGAGGTCAAGGGGCTAACTAGGTTGTCAGAACGTCTCTGGAGTTCTTACCATTTTGAGATTAGGATTTCTGACTGTAATGTAACTGGTAGCAGTTAGCCTAATAATTTCACTGTAACCTTTTTAGCTAGATGCATATCGATATACGATTTATGTCAGTAAAACGTGGATAAGTCACCACGTGTTAGATGTGTTAGTTTTTAGTTAGTGTAATGTAACCAGTTTATCTAGATGATAGGCAAATAGCTCTAGTTTTACTGATGTCTCGGATTAATTTCACCTGTCACCAACAAAATTTGTAAGTTCTATTAGTTGATAGTTTATGCCGCACCTGGAAGAGTTGTTCTGGAATCGTCTGGATTAGGGAAATAGCTTATATGTTTGTGGATATGGACAGTAGTGACTTCCCCAACAAATTTATCTGTTTGAGATTATAAAGTTGCGAATGTTTAGTTAGTGAACTCCGAATGGGAGTTAGTGATTTTGGTTTTAATTATATATCGGACAAATAAGTTCGGTTACATAACCATACTTTTTTTTAGGAATGTTTAATTTGGGATGAAGTGAATTCTGTGGAATCGGTTATTTGGGATCTAAATTAGGCATTGGACAAATTTGTTCAGTTATATAGCCATAATGTCTGTTGGCCATGCTTTTTGATTTATAATTTTTATGGTATTTGTTGGCCATTTTTTCTTGGTTGTTAATGCGAATTTGTTCAACACTAGTTGTCTTAATATGTGTTGGTACTCTCAAGTGCTGATTCCATTCCCACATAGGAACCAGACCTAGGAAAAGCAGGGGACTTGTAGTTGTGTACTTATACACGGTCTTTGGGTGCCTTTTGGTTTGTTCATGTAGGTGGTTCTTCAAAAGCTTATGGTGCTTGGATCGATAACCTATAAAATAAAACTCAGGTTAGCATAAATGAAATACATGTTGACTAGACTTCTTGAACTCTTTGCATGTGAAATGAGTAAACAAGTTATCGCAATGTGCCTGTGCGTCAGTTTTCAGTAGCATATCACCTATCTCCAACAGTCTTCACTTCTTTCTTATGCAATCAAAGACTGTCCTTTGAGGGAATTCTCCTGTTGCAGCTAATACTTTCCTTGTAATGTGGTTGAAATTCATCACTCCTTTTTGTCTACTTCCAGGAATGGGAACGAAAGTGCAGCGTGAAAGCTACATTCCAGGATATTTTCAAATGAGGGATCTTAGTGATGAGTCTAACAGCTGTAGCTGGCCACAATATTATGGGGATAAAACCTTCGCAAATGGCCAGTACTACAATGGTTTCTTGCCAAGGGCAATCACTGATACTTATTCAGGTTATGATAAGGACTTAGTAAAGCGGACAATGCTTGAGCATGAGACCATATTCAGGAACCAGGTATATCTGAATTTGTGTTGTGTACCTAAGATTATGATTTATGCTTGTCAAACTAGTTGATTTCAAATTTTTATTCCCTTTTCATTCAGCTTTACGAGCTTCACCGCCTCTACAGAATACAAAGGGACTTGATGGATGAAGTTAAAAGGAAGGAAACACCAAACAGAAGTCGAGTGCAGGTTGAGGCATTGTTGTCATCAAGCCCCTTAGCATCCCAAGTTACATCTGAAGATGTTAGGAAATGGCATATCCCTGGCTTTCCACTGGGAAATTCTGTTTCTGCTCGACCATCTACTTCTGCCATTGATAATAGTAATTCACCATTAAGTTCCGTCAGAGGAAGCAGCACATATGCCAGTCCCTTGCCAAATAAGAATGGTTGTACTTCAAAGGATGTTGAGATATTGGAGTCCAGACCCACAAAGGTGAGGAGAAAGATGTTTGACCTCCAGCTTCCGGCAAATGAGTACATAGATACTGAAGAAGGGGCACCAACCAATGTGTTTGAAAAGGCAAATCAGCTGGTCGAAGGAAATCCGAGTTATACTAACAAGAACGGTTTCACTCAGAATAATTGCCAGGATAATGGTTCAATATATGAATCACGTTTAAGGGGGAAAACTAGTATGGCTGATTTGAACGAACCAATTGTGATTGAAGAAACTAATCCTTCTGATCATGTTAGTGTTCTTGGTGTTACCCCTTTCCATGTGAAGGTTAGAGGCACAGAATTGGATGATAAGCAGAAGTCACGACTTGAAGATTCTCTGGATGTGATACCTCATCGTGGGAGTGATAGTGGGCCTTTGACTAGACCTGATCGTCAGAATGATGGAAACGGAAAGGAGTGGTTGACCCATATAGGTGAAGCAGGTAAGATATTTGTAACTGTGGAGTTCACATTGAAGTGCCCTCTCATCACTATTGATGATATAATCATAACTTTACATTCATGGTTGCAGGACATACTATAAACAATGTCAAATCTGCTACCGAGACAGGGAGTTTCCTGTCATCTTCTCCGTCGATGCAGGTCTTGTTCAACAACAGAGCTCTTGAACCTCCAAATTTTTCAGTTACTGATCAAAAGAAGAATCAGTCAAGAGATAGAAGCAGTCATGGTCTAGACCTTTCAGAAAGCAGTCTCGATGATTCTAATAATAATTGTCACCGAGAAGCAGTTATGGCTTCTAGTATATCCAGTCCGTATCTGTTCGCACCTGATTTGAGCAAGTCTTGGTCTCACTCTGCTTTGTCTTGGGAAAAGCCTACTGGAATCTTGAACCAGAATGGTATCTCGGTTCAAATGCATCCTCATTTGAATTCGTCATCTGCATCATTGAGGAAGAGTTCTCGGCCATCAACTCAAAGCAATGGGATCTTTGGAGACCGATGGAACTGTAACAACACCAGCTCTGCATCTAACCATAAATTTGGAAATGAAGTGTCTAACCGAAATGGATATTACCATGGGATTTCTACAGGGTTGAAGGAATTGCAGTTTTCTATTCCTTCAGGAAGTGATGGACATGTGAACCGTGGTACTGCTGACAATGCAGCAGCTCAAGAGCAACTAATCAATCATGCATCAGTTAGGTTCTATCAAGGTTCGAGTTACATGGATTCGAAGCCCAACTTGAATATGGCAATTTCGAATGGTTCATCAAATAAGGTGGCTACCCGGCATGGTATTGAGATTATAGATCTGGAAAGAAAGGATGATGATAATCTCTCTTCGTTACCTTGGCTAAGGGGTAATCCGGCTTTCAAAAATGAGGCCACTAGTACTGAGACGGTTCGCAATGCTGGGAAATTGAGTTTCTTGGATTCCTCTAAAGTTCTCCCAGACAGAGATTTTAGGGGCTCCCATCATCCTGCCTTTCATGGTAAGAAATTAGCTTCTCATTCTACTTATCCTGATACCACTACGATTGAAGTTAGGGAGTCCACAAGTTGCCGGAAAATTCTTGGCTTCCCAATTCTTCAAAATACACAAGCTCCCAAGAAAGAGTCTTGGTCTTTCAGCTCTCCTGGTGACTCCGTTGCCCCTCCATCCAAACAAGAGGCAGGAAACAAAGTAAAAAATATAGTGTTCGATATGAACATTCCCTGTGATGATCTGGCAGCAGCTGATTTTCCCCAAAAGGCATCTGATCAAGTCAAGCTTGTCAATAATGAGGAAGATACTATAAAGGTTCCCAACTATAGATGTGAGATCGACTTGAACTCTTGTGTAAGTGAAGATGAAGCTGCTTTATCTCCTTCCGTTCCTGATTGCAAAAACAAGACAGTTACAGGGATTGACTTGGAGGCTCCAATAGTTCCTGAGATTGAGGAGGATGTAGAATGCATAGCGAAGGTTGATAAAGAACTTTCACTATCAAGGCATCAAGAATTAGAAATACAACAAGATGAATTTGTCAGAATAGCAGCTGAGGCAATAGTTTCCATCTCATCAGCATCTGCTCCCCAAGATCAAGCAGAAGGTGCTAGCTCTACCCTTCACTGGTTTGCAGACATAGTATCCTCTTGTGGGGATGACTTGGAAAGCAAGTTTAAAGCTATTGCGAGAGTTGACGATTACGGTTCGTCTTCCATTGAGGAGTTTGATTACTTTGAGTTGATGACACTGAAGTTGACAGAGACAAAAATAGAAGATTACATGCCAGAGCCTCTTGTCCCGAAAGACTTGATATTGGATGTAACAGGACCCAGTGCTGCGGTTCCCACTAGGGCACGAAGAGGTAATGCGAGGAGAGGAAGGCAGAGACGGGATTTTCAAAGAGACATCCTTCCTGGGATGGTCTCCCTTTCTAGACATGAGGTAACTGAAGATATTCAGACATTTGGAGGGCTAATGAGAGCAACAGGTCATGCTTGGCAGTCGGGATTACTGAGAAGGAACTCGACTAGAAGTGGGTGTGGAAGAGGAAGGAGGCGGTTGGTGGTTAGTCCTCCTCCACCACCTCCTCCTCCGCCTCCTCCGGTGGTGGTGGCTGTAAGTTCGCTGATGCCTTGTGCTCCGCTGATTAATCAACTTAGTAATTTTGAAGTGGGAATGGAGGATAGGAGCCTAAGAGGTTGGGGAAAGACAACTAGGCGTCCACGCAGGCAAAGGTGCCCGGCTGGTAATCTTCCAACTCTCCCAGTAACCTAAAATTACAAATGAGCCGCTTTTTTACCTGCTGAAAATTCTATAGATGGAAAGAGCATGGGAGTTGGTGACATTTTTCTCCTGGATCTTGTGGGATTGAGTTTTCTTGTGATCAATCGTGGGGATTCCCTTGTACATTCCTTCCTTACCCATAATCCCGGGTCTCTTGGCTTCCTTCCATGGGCGACATGTCACCAACCCTCTACCAGTCAGTAAATAATGTCAGCATTCGAGATTGATACTACCGGGATACATTTCTGAGCAGCAGCACCGTAAAGAGAGCAGAAAGCACCATACTTGGTTTCTCAAAGGGTCATCATAATCTCTGGTGATAGAGAAAGAGGGACGCGATAACATCTGCTTGTGATTGATTGCATTCTATTTCGATTCAAGAGGGCAAGGCAACTGAGAATGTGTGTAATAATTGTAGATCCCTAACAAGGATGGCTGCGTTACTTCATTTTTCTCTCTTTTCGCTATATTGCATTGTATTCTGGTTCTACAGAACAGAGAGAATGGATGAGGACTTGAGGAGACAGGAGAGTTTGTTAGCCTGTACGTTTTATTTTGGCGCCCAACTCAACAGTTATTAGAGGATAAACCCAACAAAAACAAATGACAGAAAGGTTTGTTCTTTCCAATTATATAGATGTTGATGCTTGGCAGATCTTCTGTATGTACTTTGTTTTTCCAATATTGGGTTCTCTTACTTGGGATGGAAGTAGGAATCTGGAAGAAACACACCGTTGAAAAGAGGTGGGAGGAACGTAAGATTTGTAAATTGGACAGAGCATTACATTTCTGGGAAATGGAAGAAATTCGGGCCAACCAGCCAGCAAGATTCTTCCAAATCTCAGGGAGGTAAGGGAGCCAGAAAGGAAGGAATACATTCTGGGGAATTATGGCAGGAGCAGATTTGTTTGGTGGGACTGGCCAATAACAATTGGACATTTGTCTGGCTGTCCCCATCTGAATTTTGTGGTTCTTGTTGGGGAGACATTTGTCTGGCTATCAAATATTTTTAGTGACAAACGTGAAATATTTTTTAGTGGAAAAGGATGAGCTCATTTGGGGAGGCAGTGAGAATGGTTTGTACACGGTGAAGGAGGGGTATAGAAGCTGGTTCGAGAAGATTAGGGAGGAACTTGGCCTCGGGAAGCATGGGGAAGCAGCCATATGGAAGCGGCTATGGACACTACAAAGCCCCCCTAAAGTCCGTCAGTTTGTATGGCGCTTCGCTAGGGACGTCCTCCCAACTGGGGACCATGTCGAGTCTCGAAGTAACAGGTGGGGAGACAAATGCGTTTTCAGCAACTTGCGGGAGACCCAAGTTCATTTCTTTAGTGAGTGTCAATGGACTAATCGAATCTGGTGGACATCGGCATTCGTGGCCTTCTTCGAGAGCCGGGGAACAGGTGATTGCCTCGAGTGGTTCAACACAGTGATGAAGACGAACGATGATGCTGCTGTTGAGGGATGGTGTGTTCTAATGTGGTTCATGTGGAAAGAACGGAACGCCCACATGTGGAATGGTGCGAAACTACCAGAAGACACCATTGTTGCGAGGGCGGGATACTTCCTATCGGACTATAAGGCACATCACCTGAAGGAACAGACAACTACCCACGATCATATAAGCAAACAGTGGACTCGACCGGAACCAGGTTGGATCTCTATTACGTCGGACGCAGCTACCTTTGCTGATGGTGGAATCGGGCTGGGAGTGGTGGCGCGGGACAGTAATGGGAAGTTTAGACTAGCAGCAGCTAAAAGGATAATGGGAGGATGGAGTGTGGAGATGGCGGAGGCTCTGGCGGTTGAAATGGGGAGCACAGCTGAGTTCTTTGCTTCCCAGCACAAAAATTCTACTTGAATGTGACAACATGCAGGTTATTAACAAGCTATATCATGCCCAGGAGGATCAGTAGGAAATAGCGGTTATTTGCCGCAGCATCAAACGACTTTTGGCTCGTAATGATGGGGCCAACTGGCGACACATTCCACGCGAAGCTAATGGCGCCGCTCACTTGATGGCTCGGACTTTTACAAGATTGGATGAAAGAATGGTGTGGCTTGATGAACCACCAGTTTGCTTGTTTGATCAATTGAAGCTTGACGATGTAGCAGCGGAGTTTTGATCCATAAGATTACAGGTTCCCATAAAAAAAAAAGTTCAATAGTCCCAACTTGTTATTTACCTCTTTTTTGGGTTGATTGTAGAAGGTAGTTTGTAGGGTTTCGAGTTAGGAGGGTTGAGCGAATATGGTGACTAATTTATAATGGTAGTCAGTACCTCACCATGACTAATTTTTTATATTAATTACCTTATTAAATTAATTACATTTTTTGAAATTATAATTTTATATTAATTATAATTTTCTCTCTCCCTCTCTGTCACTCCCCCACTTTTCTGCTTCTCTCACCCCTATTTACGTTATTCTTCTCGATTCTTCTTTGTCTTCGTCCTGAAGAAGAAAAAAATGAGAGATCAATACCAAATCATAAAAAAGACTCACTTAAAAAATGCCAATACAAGTTCAAAACAAATCAATACCAGTATAGACAGTGACAGAGCTACGTTAATGGCAGGGGAGGCTATAGCCCCACTTCAATTCTCAAAATCATGTAAAATTACATGTAAGTTTTGTAATAAATTGACAAAATATAGTAATTGATAAGGCGTTAGCCCCTCCACCCCCTCTTGCCATATTGAATTCTCTGCGTGTAAATTTTTAGCCCCTGCTCATTGAAATTTATGGCTATGCCACTGAGTATAGACGAACCAATACTAGTTCAAAACAAATCAATACCAGTATAGACAAACCAATACCAGTTTAATGCAAACCAATACCAGTTGAGATGGATGAATATCAATTCTAGGTGAATTGATACCAATTTTACACAAACCAATACTAGTTCAAATAAACCAATACCTTTTCAATACGAATCAATACCAATTCAACGCGAACTAAAACCAGTTCAACACAAACAAATACAAGAATACAAAACTCATATGAGTTTTGAAAAACAAATTCATTCGGGAGAAAGACAGAGAGGGAGAGTAGTAGTAGAGAGAGAGAGAGAGTGTGTGTGAGAGAGAACTCACTAAATCTGGGTTTGGGGGAATATCGATAGATGCTGAGGGAGTGAAGGTGGCAGAGTGAGGAAGCTGGAGTGGTGACAAATACGCATGGGGAGCGGCGTGAGGAAGGGGGGAGCAGTGAAAGAGGAAGAGGAATGGTTGACGCATGTATGTTCGTAGGAAGGTGGTAGGCAGAAACATGGAAGAGGAAGAGACAATGGCGGAGTCAGGATTCGAAAGTACCCATGTCTTCTTTTCAAAATATAAAAAAATATTAAATATAATTAAAAATAATAATACCCAAATATATCATCCATATATAATAACGAAATAACCAATCAATACAATCACTATTTTCATATACAACCACAATACATTTTCATATTCTGAGTTAAATTAAATTTATGTATGCCTTTAAACAAGAAATGTCTTGTAATTTAGTGGTATAACACTCTTATATTACCTAGATATCATGAATGCAATACTTAGTTTATACATATATGTGATACTTTTTTTTGTTATTCTGGAAATTACATGTGTCCTGGGACACATCCCAGGACCCTTGGCTCCGCCTATGGGAAGAGAGGAAAATGGAGAAAGAGAGACAGAGAGGACTATGATTTTTAGGGTCTGGTGGCAGGGATGGCAATAAAACCCAAACCCACGGGTACTCAGCCGACCCAACCCGGTCAACGCGGGTAAAATCCGTGTTGACGGGTTTTCGGCCGAGTTTGGGTTTAAACCCGTTCACTATTCACCGGGTTGGGTTGGGTTTGGGTTTAGGTAAATCCGACCCATGGGTACCCGCTCACACCCATATAGTTAATTTTCTTGGTATATTTAGTATTCTAAACAACTCATCTTATTTATGTTTGTGGAGACATGTCTAATTTTTTCTTTCAAATTGTGTAGAATGAAGTTGATGTTATCGAGTGGAGAGTGAATAAACTTAATTGAAAGGAAGAAGCTTTCAATTAATCATGTTATTTATGGATAATTTGTGATTTGCTTGAATTTTTTAGAAATGTGTTTTATATATGGATAATTTGTATTGAGAGATTGATATTTGACTTTAATTTTGATAGGAACTTGTTATTGTAAACTTTTTACGACAAAAACCCGTGGGTACTCATGAACCCACGGATACCCAGCGGGTTGGGTTGGGTTTGAGTTTTTCAAACCCATTGGATTTTACCCCGGGTTTTTTTCACGAATAAACCCATGGGTTTGGGTTTGGGTTTGGCAAAACCCGACCCAACCCGACCCATTGCCATCCCTATCTGGTGGCCATATTTGAAGGATAGTAATCATATATGAATATTATTTTTGTTTCATAACTACCTAAAAACAATAGGGTAGAGATGTAGGTTGTCATAGTGACAACGTGTCACGGTAATCCATTCCTCATGCCATTTAAGTATAGAGTATGTTTCACATTAACCATACGGTTGAATCACGGTCATACCACAAAATACTCTACCATATACTAATTTTGTATATGACCGCCGATACGATTTTTCAATTCTTGAAAAAAACTAATAAGCAATATTCTCCATCTGTATCAAGAGCTACGCAACTATGCTCATATTCACAGGTGCTTTTGTTTTAAAAAAAAATATTTTATGGTACAAACTGAATTTGTACCTCTAATATAATTATGGTGTAAATTTAATTTGTACATATACATTTTTCTTCAAAAACTTTTATGGTGCAAATTGAACATATATCTTAACAATACAGTACAAATTCAATTTTTATTTATATATTTTCCAACAAAAAAATTTCTATAACATAAATTGAACTTGTATCTCCTCAAAATGCCTATATTTAGACTTGTTACATCATCATACTTGTCTTTGGCCCAAATCGACTCCACCACAAAGCCCCAACCAGCGCAAACTCGGCCCACGAACCAATAACCCCCAACGCAAATCTAAATCCATCAACACCGATCCAGCTTAGCTGGGGGATCGGTGCAGATTTGTTGGTGAATGGTGATCATTATAGTGATTGACTGTATTATCTTATTCAACTTTTATTTTGGGCATTGCTATTCGTCGCTCTAAAATTCCTTATTCGTCGCCCTAATTAAATTACATTTACTTTAATACCCTTAAATGACCAACACACTTGTCCTGGACTCGAACAAAAAACATATAAACATACAGCAGCATCACTATCATTGTTCTCCATTATCCTCACTTCTTCACTTAGATTGTAAATTGCAGCAACAACACTCTTAAATTCTAACTTGTCTTTGTACCGTTCTTATGAATCGGCTACATGGATTCTTTCTTGTTTTTTCTTTTTCCAAATCATTTGATACCCCTCAAAACTTCTAGCAACAGAGAACAAAAAGTGGAATCATTTTCTTCTTTTGAGCGATCACTTTTACAAGAGATAAGTGAAGCAACAATCAACAAGAGATAAATCGAAAGCCAATTTAAATATGGCAACAATCAACAAGCAACAATCAACAATCAACAAGAGATAAGTAACAATCAACAATCAATAAATCGAAAGCCAATTTAAATATGGCGATCACTTTTACAAGAGATAAGTAAAGCAACAATCAACAAGCAACAAGCAACAAGCAACAATCAACAATCATGCCCAGCTCTCAGATCGGGCTTCCTGAACTCCGTCGGAAGCAGATCATTGCCTGATTTATCCCCCTCTTCTACCCAGATAGAGCGAGCTCGAGGATGAACAGGAAGGGAGGCGTCAGAGAAGGGGAAGCCGGCTTGCAGAGACGACGGAGTAGGCGACGCCTTCTTCTTCTTCTTCTTCTTCTTCTTCTTCTTCTTCTTCCATTTGAGCGGCGACGGATTTGGATTAGGGTGAGGAAGGGGAGATTTTTCCAATAATAGCACCTTTAAAAAAAAATTACAAAACTAGCACACATCCGATAAAATTTACATTACTAGCACCTATTTTTATGGAACGCACCTTAGAGATGCGTTTTATAAATAAA